ACTAAGAGGTAATGTAAATCTGCGATACCCCTCCTTTTCCTCAAGAACATATAACGATTGCATGCTAGAGTGAGTTCAGGCATGATTTATTAACATATTGGCGAGTTCCACTCGTGATTCATCATTATCAGACTCATATCCATCGTCAGAAAGTTCATCCTCATTAAATTCAAATTCACTAGTAAGTTCTTGTTCATCTGTGAGTTGTTCACTGGTGGATTCTTTATTTTATTTGTTGGTGAGCCCTTGATCTTGTTTATTCGTGGGTTTTTCGTTGGTAGGTTCTTGCTTATTGTTAGCTGATTCTTGTACATGATTGTTCATCTTCGCATATACCTTATATATATATACATATTTTTTTTTTTTTTTTTTTTTTTTAGACTCAAGAGTCTTAAAGAGTCTAATACAAGACTCTAATGCAAGTTCCGGGAATGTTCTGCACAAAACTTTATGTCAAAAATGTATAAATTTTGAAGATAAGTGAACTTTATAATGGAATTTCTTCTTTTAATATACAGATATGAAGAAGATCCTTTTTTTTTGCTTTATAAGTATTGTGTGGAATAATAGACACGTGCTTGTATAACATTATAGGTGAGATCGGGAGGGTCAGAGCATTGGTAACAGATCTGAGGCAGTCCATTTTTGCTTGACATAAGGAAACCCCTAAAATAAATATATCTAAATTTGTTAAACAAAATTTCAGAAAAAAATTTTTTATGCCATACCAATTCTAGTATACTATTTTTATTTAATAGTATACTGTATGCACGTATGAGAATTTCATAAATAGTAAAGCTGCGAATATTATTGTAAAAAGACTATTTCTGGAAGAAACAAATAAAGTAAAATTTTCAGTTTTACTTATTTATGGAAATCTAATGTCAATTATTTCGACATTTATCACTTCGCCCAGTCATGCCAATTTTATTTATATCTTATTTAGTGATTTGACCCAAGAAAAAACCGGCTAATTTTCTAAAGCCAACCAGGGTGCAACCAGTATATGAGGTATACATATGTACTGTATCTGAAAAAAAAATAAAACTGCCAAAAGTACAGAAATTGTTGTCTAAGATGAAATAAAATTTTAGTGATTTAGTAGATAAATTGGGAAAGCTATAATTAGATTCAGATTTTTACATTGGATATTATATATTGGCAGCTTCTATTGCAATTTTAATTAATTTGTACAAAATAGTTTTATAATCAATGTGCTTTGCATCAGAATTTCTCAAAGAAAATGCCTCTAAAGCACAAAATAAGCAATCTTTTAAATTGTAATAGATTCTTACAAGCTATTGCATTTAAATTTAAATGATTATTTAGATTGACGTATAAAAAGTATATACCGATATTGTATTTTTGCCTTTTTACATCTGCGCTTACATTTTATATTATTTATTTGTGATAAGGAATCTAATTCGAAATTGCTCAAAAGAAAACTTTCAACATAATTTTAAGATCAATTTCGTATGTATGCCTTTTTCTAAAATCTTTGGAACTTGATATTTGACCTTATCAATTTTATTTTTGAAATTTGAAAACTTCACATTTTTGAGAATATAGAATACCAGTACTTTGCATTTTTTCAAGTGCTAGCCAACGAACAACTTATATAATATGACTACTAATATTAATGGATATGAAGGAAGTCACTTTATGAGAGAAATGGAAATTTGTAATTAGTTTTTCCATCTATTCAGATTACAAAATCGAATAATTAATTATAAAAAATTTTAAAATAGTATATAAAATACTATAATATCATGATGAAAGACTTTGACCACACCAAGACAAATATCATAAGCTATATCTTTTTTGTTTTCCATGAAATATCTTTATTTTATATAATCTTTTAAATTTCTTAATTCAGCCCATTAAAAAACTTGAATGTCTTTCCTTCGTAATGAGATATGTCATAAAATTTGAGAAAGTTATCACAATCATTTAACATTTCTAATATTGCTAATTGTGATTAAACTTTTTGATCTTTGATTTCATCAGGTCTATAAAAATTTATAATGTTATATATATATATATATTGACCACTTTTTTAGAGCGAATAATCAACATTTAAATCTTGTAATAAATTTGGATTTATACTTGTTGGTTTAAGAGTAGGGTGTAACTATTTCCAAATTCATATAAAATAGATTGTAGATCAACATCATGTAACCAATATCATATG